GTATGCACGTGTAGATATTCACGTACAGATAGCGACGAATATACACTGTCGACCAAAAGTTTCGGACCACTTGACAATTTACGTCAAATTAATTCTGCAACGTTCAACAACAATTTCCTTCGTTTCAGCAGATTAGAACAATAATAAGCAACGCTTTTTTCATTGAGCCAAAATTGCAAATCTGACTTTGAAAAATTTAATTCATTAATTTGAAAGTTCTTAATTTAGAATTTTCCACAGGCGACTGATTTTCAAAAGTATCAATATTCAAGGTTTCTACTTTATTTCAAGCGAACAAAGCGTACGTGATCCAAGAGAAAAAATGAACAATATATATAACAGATATGTATTCGAGTAAAAAAGGAATTAACGCAAAGCTGAAACGTCGGCACATTTTCAACGAGACGTGCAGATTGTGAAAGTTTACGAGCCACTTGCTGTCCACGCTATTATCTTTATCGCATTATCTACACTGAAACCATAGAATGCCAATTCGTTAACGAAAAAAAAAAAAAATATTTTTCTGTTAAATTATCGAGAATCCAATGATATCCATACTTTTCTACAATCAAATACTCCAACGTGACATTTCAACGTGTAATTTCCCGTCAGCACGAGACGTGTTAAACGTTTCTTAAAATTGCCAATTTCTTTCAGGAAACTTCCAGTTTCGCTTGCAAAATACGCGGCGACGCTAAACTTTTTGGCGACAGTGTAGGTATAGAGACAGAGACGGAGGGACAAAGGTGAACGCAGAGGGTGAAAGGGAGAGATAGATGCACTGCGGACCAAGAGTTTGAGGTCACGGGCTAATTATTGTATAATTAAGGTCCGAGGGTTTGATTATCGACTTAATTTCACGTAATCGAATTTGGGCCGCCGAATGAAATTTGTGGTGTATATTGTCGTTAGTTAGAGGGATGCAGGTGTATTCAACTTTCGATGCCAGGAGATTTGCGATAAAACGTAAATTTCACCGATCGTCGAAATCTGTCGGTAATAAAATTCAAATTTTAGAAATCGAAATTTAAACTGTAGCCAGAAAAAGGGGAAAAATGTTCGGATAAAAATGCATTTGCAACGGTAAACAAACAACACGTTTATCGGTATTCTTATCGCCGCACTAAATATAACTTTAAAGCTGAATTTTGGAACCGGTTTTAAGTGCATCGCACGGTAGCGTGTAGAACACACGCAGTTATCTATAAACTCGGTACTACAACGACACGGATAAATAAAATTCGATCGACGAACTGTCTCTCGGAGGAAAATTCAAGCGAAATCTAAAACCGTCGAAAATGAACTATCCGAACAGTGAGATTCTGTACCAACGAAGACAAATGAACAAAAATCCAATCCAAACACTTGGAGTAAATAATAAAGGAAAAGCTACGCGAACAGGTGTATAAAGAGAGAGCACAGTGTCCGGTTGATCGGACAAAGATAGAGAGAAATCCATAAAGATAGGAGATGAAAGTGTGCGTGCAAACGCAACGTGTCGAAGGAGACGGCGAGCCCCCTTCAGGCGAACTTTCACTCGCCGTTTCGCCGTCTCTGAACATATTCACCTCTTATCCAGAGATGGCTGCCGGACATCGGAGGGAACAGCTCGGAGACGCGTAGATCTATCATCGGACCATTGTCCGACACAGAGTTATCCTGAAAAGGACGGTCGAATGGGGAGCTGTGATAATTGAAAAAAGAGAGACGAGAAGAAAAAATTGGAATTACGCGAAATGCAGCGACAGTGACGGGGTAGGGGAGGGTCAGATAGAGAGGGAAAAAGGTTACCTCCAGTTCTGGCAACGAAATTTCGGCGAAAACTGCTCGCCTGAGAATCAGTCGTTGACGGGAACCGCGACCAGTGTCTTGCATCTCCTCTTGTTACGAGTTCGACGAATAATTGGTATCTGTGCAGTGAAATTGAAAGCTGTTTTGTTGCTAGATCTTCATCTTCATCTACATCTCATACACGTTTCGATCGTTTAGCGAGTTTTTATTTCTCGTCGTCTCAAGTGACTCGATCGACCATCGATGGAGTATCGATTTATCTTGGAAAATCGGGAAGTCGTTGAATCGTGTTCACAGTTGCGCTACGATGACTATTTAAGGCTTCTTTCGTCGGATCTCCAATGCAACGAGAATATGCTACATTGTTGATGGCAATTTAACGTAGAGATCTGATCGTTTGGATGTGTGGGGCTAATGTTTTACGAAATTTTCCGAATCTAGCCATTTTCATGAGTTTTCTATGCAACGAGAATATGCTACTTTGTTGATGGAAATCGAGGATGCAGATTTGTTTGTTCAAGTTTGCTCTCGTTTGGATATGTGGAGCTTAATGTTTTACGAAATTTTCCGAATCTAGCCATTTTCATGAATTTTCTACGCAACGAGAATATAATCGAAGATAGAAGTTTGCCTCCGTTTGGATGTACGGAGCGGTTGTTCGTCAAATTTTCCGAGTCTAGCAACGAGCAAATCTCGACGATCGTCGCGCCAACGTTGATTGCCACCGCTTGTTACCTAATTGAACGTAGACTTTCATTTAGTCGTTATGGGACACTGTTTAGTCGCTCGACTTAATATTTCGTGCGACAAATTGCGTTTAGAAGTGTCTACTTTGTCTGCCGAAGGGAGAGAGTGTTTCACAATTGAGCGAAGAATTGGCTGCATTGTATTTACAAAGTGAATTTATCTGTTTTACGAGTGTAACGTAAGATTTTTCTAACCGAAAAATTTCTTCGCCATATTCCCAATTTTAATTATACGAAACTATCTGTTTCTCGATCTACGAGTGCACAACATTAATGCACTTTAAATTACAGTTCTACTATAAATTCCTCCGGTTCACTCAGTTTTCCAAATTAATTATAAAAACCAATTCGGTAATTATACCGACAATAAGCTATCACACGTCGGTATCAGTCAATTTTCACTTTCTCCCTTGAAAAAAAAAACTAACACCGCCAAAGAGCAATTCTATTCGATTCAAATTTTCTCCAACGATAATTGATCTCCGTTCTATTTTCGCCGATCGAACGATCAACGGTGAAACGACACTACTACACTCGACACGAACCACACTCTGGACATTCTGACGAAAAAAAAAAGAAAAAAAGAAAAAACTAAATCGATTGGAAATCCAGAGGAATTCGACCAGTTTCCCTGCTCGTAAAAAAGACCTTCAATGACTGATCTGGAAGCGGCACGAGGTCGCTTGTGAAAAACGTGGACGGAGAAAGGGAAAGGGAGAGAGCGAGAGAGAGCGAGAGAGAACGTTAAGTTCTGGCTGTGAAAATTCGGTCGCTCAGTTGTTCACGAGAAAGCGCAACGGTGTTCACGAGTTCACGTGTGCCGAGTTCAGGTTTGATACGGGATATCCGATATTACTCGAATTCTCATTTTTTTCAAAATCGCCGAAATTTTCGTCTCCAATTTACATTCCTCTCAGTGCTATCTCTCAGTGGAAATAAAACGAGAAATATATGTAGCTTGGTCGTCTCGCACAGTTCGAAGCAATTTAATATTCAAATGTAGAATTCGTCGGCAATCAGGCTAATCGTAGCTGAATGATCTGTGGTCAGTTAGGAATTGCCAATTTCTTGTTTCTTCAAACCTTCTTCGTTAGATCATCGGAGGATTCCAGTTTTGTTCCTTTCACAAAAATTCTTCATTTTCAAGTAAAATTCGTTTCATTGGTGCACCAAAGTGTCGCAATTTGTCGTATTCAATTCGAACGACCGAAGTAATTTCCATCAGAGGCTGATTTCCTTTCACAAAAATTTCATCCAAAGTAAACTTTTCCTTTTAAAAATAATTTTTTAAGTGTCGTAAGTTTTTTCTATTCAATTCGAATAAACCTGATAATTTCGACGAGAGGCTAATAGAAAAGTTGGTTCGCAGGATCGAACTTTCGATTTCATTTCTTCGCAAAAATTCCATTCTCTTCCATGGCTAATTAACAAAGATGCTACGTACCCGAACACTCGAATCACGCTACGGGGGTGTACTACGGATTACACAAGTTTTTACGTAATGATAATGACCCGGTTTAATCGGGACGCGATTAGATGGCCTTCATGCATCTCCCTGAGACACATTATTCAATATCCTTCTCTGGTTTCGCCTCCTTCCTCGCGATACTGTTCTCGGAAAACTCGTTAAATTACATCATCTACGTTCTCTGGATGAGAAACAGGTTACACAGGAACGGGTCTCTGTGTTCCTCCACGAACAATGTTGCATTTTCTCGAAAATCCATCGTCCTTCTCCAATAATCCTTCCTTCGGAAAGTGTCTCAACTGAGCAAGTAAAAGAAGCTGAAACTTGGAGAATGTTGATAACTAAAAATACTGTTTCCAGTTTCCGAGTGTAAGCCGTGTTCAGGAGCCTAAGTTTCCCAACGTTTCGCAAGCTATCTTCGTCAGAAATCTGAGTCTCGTTAATAACCGAAGTCGTTAACCCTGGTCTAAAACAGAAAAAGAAAAATAAACGATTACACCAGAAATTATCGTAACAACTATGGGTCTAATCTTACATCACCAGTCTCGTCCTTTTGTTTCATACTAAAGAAGACGCCTAGAGGATCCGTCGAAATATTTCTCTCGTCCGATCTTCCTCTGGAAAAAAGAAAGAAAAGGCGACTTTTTGTCAATATTTACTCGGCCATTCGAGTCAAACAGCTGCGACTTTCATCTTCACCGAACGATTCTTCCTTTCGCTTCTTTTTTACCTCGGCGAGGTTCACTTTCACCCTGCTGACATCAGAATTTCGTGGCACGGCTATCGATTCACCGATCGTTCTCCAATAACGGCATAATCAACGAAGGAACTTCATTTACATAACGAAACATTGTTCTTTCGTCCATTTCCTCTCTCCCCCTTTTTTTTTTCACTCCCTTTTCATTTTTTCTTTTTCGAAATAGAAGGAACTCGAGTACGATTGTCAGAGGTCTAAGCAACTGAACGTTGCTTCTCAGACTTTTCTGAGTTAAATGATCGCGAGGAGAATGCAGTCACCTGCTGTTATCGTTGCATAACGTACCGGGTAGACGATGCGATCCACGAAGAACTCCGACTACATGATGATGTTGGCCACCTACGGGCTACGATTCCTCGTGGTCGTTTTCATGATCGCGGCTGCGGCCACGTTTTTGCACGTGAACAATTACAGGCCCAGTAAGTAAGTTCACGTCAATTTTCAGGGACGAAAAACGCTCCTTTTGGACGGGTTTGTTCCCTTCGCGAGGAACTTTTGTCGAGTGTATTTACCGTGCTTCGCGACGAAACAGCTCTGGATGATCGCGAAATTGTAGATTGTTTTATTTTTTGATAACAAATTTGTAATTCTGTTTCTTTTTTAAGAGAATTTTGGGGGATTTTGTTTCATCGAGAAATTTGTAGATAAGTGTGTCCCTATCTCAGCGAACTTTTCTAATAATTCTGGTCTCTTTTGGAAGAATTTTGGATTTATTTTTACCGATAATTTTAGGTAACTGTGTTTGCTGAATTTTGTATAATTACGTTTATTTTCAGAGTTATTTCAGCTCGATCGAGTTTCATGATTTGTGAATGGTTCGTTTCGTTGATTTCGCGTGTTTGTATTCATTTTCTTCGTTTCTTTTCTGTTATTTATAGAGCAAATATTCCTCTCCTGCGACAGACCATGCCACCACTTAGACTGGCCCATGATTTGCAGGTTGAAGCTCACTTTAGAAGTGTTCCAGTCACTTAGCAAGTAAGACAACTTTTTGCATTCATTGTTCGACTTTAACGTTCGCAACTGCTTCTAACAGAAATTGTTCCACGCGTTTCCTATCTTCCTTATCATTCACTTCTTCTGTATTAAGCTGTTCCTGCTATTTTCTCTTTGTGAAACCATTACAACCATCGCTTACCACAAAAACAACCTACTTTCTATCGAAATTAAACTAGCTCGGCTATTTTCCAAATAATGAAATAAAATTCTCAGCACTTTCAACGTGTCACACGTTAACCTATAACCTAATCGCTCATCAGAGGCACGTGCAATCGCATCAGGCATTAATCATTCCTCTCATCTTTCACTTCTAACGAAATCTCCTTAACCATTTAGAGAAAGGAACGTTATCTAATCCTTTCAAATTATATCAACGCAATCCCACGACGAGCGCCTTATTCATTTATTCAGGAACTAATCCAGCAATCAAAAAACTATATTCCACGTTCTCTTGCTTATTCTTTCATAAGGAATCACCTCAAGCACAATTAAAAAGATTCGAGGTGGTGTTAGTTATGTAGTTTACTCAATTGAACCAATAATTTTGCAGATTACAATTGAATAAGAAAATTCTATAATTTCGGTTCGCTATGAAAACGAACTATTCTCAAAATTGTTATTATCGTTATTATGTCGTCCATTTAACGCACACAAATTTTCATCAACAACTAGTTTTCGTTGCGTTGCAAGAAACGACTGAAAAATCGAGCGACACGTTCAAGCGAACAGCCTATGTACGAAATAAGGATAAGTAAATAGAAATAGAGAAAAAGGAACGTGCATAATGTCCGAGTACGCAAACCGTTCGGTCATATCAATTACGTAACGATGCTCGTGTTTAAACATTTCCATTGGAATCATCAACCGGGGTTGCCCGTTGCAGCAACCGTTATGCAATCTCTGAAATGCGGAAGGCTGTCGATCATGGCGTTCACGCTTCGCCTGTAATCCCTGCAATTTGTGTTTGTTGTTTTTCCTTTTTTTCTTCACTTTTATTTCTACTCTGCGTAGATCGTGTGGCGATTGCCCGCAAAATGAAACCGCTTGTTTGACCAAGCATTGCGTCTCGGCGGATGGACACAGACGTGGTATACTAACGGCGAATCGTCAACTGCCTGGACCAACCATTCAGGTATTCTTAGAATTTACGACGAGTACTCGAGGGTAATTGCGGATAACGAGTGAAGAATTCACTAATCGGTGGATTTTTTGACAAGGAAGTTTACTACATTTTTGAATGCAGTGGAGCGATGAGTTGAAGTTAGGTTTAGCTTGAGATTGTATCTACTCTGCGTAGATCGTGTGGCGATTGCCCGCAAAATGAAACCGCTTGTTTGACCAAGCATTGCGTCTCGGCGGATGGACACAGACGTGGTATACTAACGGCGAATCGTCAACTGCCTGGACCAACCATTCAGGTATTCTTAGAATTTACGACGAGTACTCGAGGGTAATTGCGGATAACGAGATTTTTTGACAAGGAAGTTTACTACATTTTTGAATGCAGTGGAGCGATGAGTTGAAGTTAGGTTTAGCTTGAGATTGTGGGGAGAATTAAAGTTTTATTGCAGATAAAAATTGAAGAATTCTCTCTACAGTAGATTTCTTGAAAAGGAAGTTGTAAATTTTGGTAATGCAATGGAGCGATGGATTAAGTTTAGGTCTGGCTTAATTGCAGATAAAAATAGAAGAATTTACTGTACAGTAGATTTCTTGAAAAGGAAGTTGTAAATTTTGTAATGCAATGGAGCGATGAATCAAGTTTAGGTTTAGCTTAATTGCAGATAAAAATAGAAGATTTCTCTGTACAGTGAATTTTTTGAAAGGGAAGTTGTAAATTTTGTAATGCAGTGAAGTGATGGATTAAGTTTAGGTCTGGTTTAATTGCAGATAAAAATAGAAGAATTCTCTGTACAGTGAATTTCTTGAAAAGGAAGTTGTAAATTTTGTAATGCAATGGAGCGATGAATCAAGTTTAGGTTTAGCTTAATTGCAGATAAAAATAGAAGATTTCTCTGTACAGTGAATTTTTTGAAAAGGAAGTTGTAAATTTTGTAATGCAGTGAAGTGATGGATTAAGTTTAGGTCTGGCTTAATTGCAGATAAAAATAGAAGAATTTACTGTACAGTGAATTTCTTGAAAAGGAAGTTGTAAATTTTGTAATGCAATGGAGCGATGAATCAAGTTTAGGTTTAGCTTAATTGCAGATAAAAATAGAAGATTTCTCTGTACAGTGAATTTTTTGAAAGGGAAGTTGTAAATTTTGTAATGCAGTGAAGTGATGGATTAAGTTTAGGTCTGGTTTAATTGCAGATAAAAATAGAAGAATTCTCTGTACAGTGAATTTCTTGAAAAGGAAGTTGTAAATTTTGTAATGCAATGAAGTGATGGATTAAGTTTAGGTTTGGCTTAATTGTAGATAAAGACTGAAGAATTCTCTGTGCAGTGAATTTTTTGAAAAGGAAGTTGTAAATTTTGTAATGCAATGGAGTGAAGGGTTAAGATTATGTTTAGCTTAACCCCTTCACGTATGATTTCTTTTCCTGACTGTGCATCTAAGCCTCAGCTATTCACCGTTTTAGTACAATATTAATTAAGAAATGCCAATGTATCATAGATTAATGAAATTTTGCAATCTTCAGTTCAATAAATGAAACGGGAAATTGGAATTGAAATGAACTTTTCTTACGGATATAATTGTTTTTATAAGGTCTTGACCAAAATCTGTGGCACGAGTCTAACTCGTTGTTACACGGCAAGGGGTTAATTGCAGATAAAAATTGAACAATTTTCTGTATAGAAGATTTGTTGAAAAGGAAGTTGTAAATTTTTTTAAGCAGTGTAACGAGTAGTTGATTTTGCTAGATTTTGTTTCTTGCAGAAATGCAGCAGGTTATACGACAGATAAACTGCTTTTGAAGTGAAAGGGATCGGTTCGCAATCCTTGAATGAATACTGCAAAGTTTGCAATATGCAAATCCAGATTGGCCTATATTCGCTTCCTGGTATACGGGATTACAGGCTATTGTCCACTACGATGTTTGTCCACTGCATTATCATTTATGCCACGTACTATGACTTCAAACGACTCCCTATTGAATCACGCAAGTCAATATCAATCGATACAGCGGCTTTCGCGTGATTTCGAATTGTCCCTGTGGTGTCCCATGTGTTCACCATTGTCACGTTCTATCTTTGACCTTTGTGTATCTGTTTCCACGATATAAACGGCGTTTTCCCGCGAGGGAAAAATTTATTTCATTTTCCTCCAACGAATGAAAATTTAGCAGTTAATTTCCTTCCAATAAAGGAAAATTTAGCATTTTCTCTCAATTACCTGAATTTTCATCTTCGAAACACGGTAATTTCTCTTTAATTTTATTTAACAAGATTTACACCTACCAAATTATTTTGTCCGATGCATAGAACTACTTTTCTCCATTCAACGCTCTTTACATACAAATTACAACCGCCAAGTAACACAACTCTAGATACACCTGCGTCGAATCACAAAATCAGGCAAATTGATCCAATTAATTCCACGTAATAGTACCAGCCTACGACGTCACCGAAACGTTACACAATCTATTACTTAACCGCCGTATAATGTATAAATTATTCATACCCTGGGAAACGCGAGTTTAGCACCAGTGCTCTAAAGGTTAAAACTGTAACAAGAACTTGCACTTTTCTCTGCGTGTAGTCTTCGGATGACGAGCTTTTACAAAGAAAGAACGAAGGGGGAAAAAACGACACACGCGGATGGAACGGGTTACGGATAACGAACAAGATGTGTTCGGAGCAATCGCATCGTTCACGTGCAGGTTTCCTTTCCTTCTTGTTTGCCAGGTTTGTGAGAACGACATCTTGGTTGTGGACGTGATTAATCGACTTCCGGGTAAAGCTGCCGCAGTGCACTGGCGTGGTCAATCGCAGATAGAATCGCCGTATATGGACGGCGCCCCTCTGGTCACACAGTGTCCGATACCGAGCTATACTACTTTCCAGTACAAGTTCCGCGCATCCGTCGCTGGAACTCATCTGTGGCACTCTCACGCCGGTAATCGAAAATTGTTGCGAATTTCTCGAATCACTTGTCAAGTTTCATTTTCAGTACATTTGGAATCGATGGCGCGGGGATCGATTGCAATTTCATTTTGATTAATTTGGCAAGCGAGAATTTAAGTGCAAGTTTTCAAGTTTACGCCAATGTAGAATTTAAGTTCTTACAAATTTGGAATCAATGCTGTGGGGATCAATAGTGAATTTAATTTTGACTAATTTGGTAATCAAAATTTAATTGCAAGTTTCCTAAAATTTTGACCTTTCTTGAAAATTCTCGATACTGAAATACAGTTCCAAAACAATTATTCATAAGTTCGAGAGAATTCCTGAAATTTCGCGACGACACTTACCAACCGCAAAAATTTCTAATTCGTCACATCTGAAATTACACCGCAATCATCTCACTTTCCCCCGCGTTAAACATTCATCGAACACTCAGAAAAGTGTGAATCACCCGATTGGAACGATAACCCAGAGAATTCCATCCTGCCGTAAAAATATCGATTTTCCATCCTAATTTCCAGGGGCTGACGTCAGCAACGGCGTGTTTGGAGCGTTGATCGTCAAGCAGGCAGACATACGAGATCCACATCGGCCCTTGTACGACATCGACGACCCGAATCACGTGGTTTTGCTCAGCCACTGGCAACATCTACCTGAAATCGCGCTCACCGAAGGCCACGTGAAACCGGCGATTCTTTTGGTGAACGGAAGGGGACGTCAATCAAACGGACCAAACGTCCCCTATACACGATTCACGGTGATTCCAGGACGTCGCCATAGGTTCCGCGTTGCGAATGCTGGCGGTGCTGGAACCTGTCCAATAACTATCTCTATCGACGCTCATCCTATTCTTCTGATTGCCCTGGATGGGCATCCAGTAGAACCACGGCAAGTTACATCGATTACTTTGGCCAAAGGTGAGTGTTGCTACATACACGGGACGGACGACGTAAAACAGGCCACCTAATTAGCTTCGCTAACTATGGTGGTTGCGAGACAAGCTTCGTACCCAATTTACACGGTTTTAAAACATGAATAAGGTGGAATTGTAGAGTTTGAGGTAATTTTAAGGTCACATGCGCGTTTAAATGCAAAAAAATGCAAAGTGACTTAGAAGAAGAAAAAAGAAAGGATTGGCATTTATACAACTTCTGAAACCATTGAAATTAGATAATCAAATTTTTGCGAGTCCAAGGTTATTTTAAATTCCAAAAAATGGCACTTGGAAGAAAAAAAAAAATGTTCTCCCATATCTCTTTGAGAAACTCGTCTCGTACCGCCATAGCTAGAGAAGAAACAACGTTCGCGTCGAAGTTTGGCAAATATTTACCAAACCATTAAATATCGCATACCTCGTGTCGCCTATAAACTCTAAGAACCGGCGAATAATTCGAAAGCTGGTGTTTGAAGCCGGATTGTTTCGATGACTTCAGGCGAGAGAGCAGATTTCATCCTCAAAGCGAACAAAGCAATCGCTTCCTACTGGATGAACTTACACACATCGAAGGAATGCGGAACAAAACCCATAAACGGCGCAGCGATTTTGAGATACAAAGGAAGTACGACGAAAGAACCGCAATCTGTGACGGAAACCACCGATCAACTGGAAGTCGAGGAATCGATGCGTCGACTAGCGATGACGACCAATCCCGCGGAGAAGTGCGGCAATCCTGAAAATCTGTGCGTGACGGAAATACAATCGTTGCGAAAAATGCCCACCGTTCTCAGAGCACCGAAAACCGACGTCACCATTCGTCTGCCTATTAATTACAAAATGCAAACGAACGACATCGTAGGTAAGCGATACGACGATCAATAGTGGACGAAATTTGCCGCCAATTTCTTTTGTGTGCTTGAAAATTAATATACGAGGCGTTTTACTTAAGTTTATCACCTGAAATATTTCTTCTATATTTGAAATTTGGCAAAAATGTTTTTTACAAAAGTTGCACATTTCGTTTCTTTATGTAAATTGTGTTCCGCCTAACTTTGTCATCTGAAATATTTCCGCTGTATTTGAAATTTGGTAGAAATTTATCCTACGAAAGTTTGCACAAAGTAAACTTCCTTGTTTTTAAATGTTTAATGACAAATTCAACGATCTGAAAATTTTTGGAAAATTAAGTTTCTGCACAGTTTTATAATTTTACCACTGAAATGACAATATTTTCTCCACGTTTTCTCTACGATACAACACACCGATTCGGAAGATCTGTTTATAACGAGCAGCACTTTCTTAAATCCCCAATTCAATTTAAAAAAAAAAACAATTGGGAAAAAGATTAAGGACAAAGTGACCGTAAAATCTACAAAAGAATATACCTGGAACGCAAAATAAATATAAAAAGATCGAGGGAACGATAGCGAAGATATCCGGTGACGTTCGTATCTGCCCGTTCTTGCGTCACGTCTCAACGACATTTACGTCTCTTGGAAATTACAAGTCACGTGAACACGCGGTCAACTTCCCTCCGGTGTTTTCCCCGCTGTCTCGTCGAACGTGTGTCTCTAATAATTATTGCTTCAACGACCGATAAACCGAGAAAAGCGAGAGTGACCGCGACAGTGAAATAAGATGGACAAGGTCAGACGCGAAGACCGGTCGTTAAGTAGATGTGGAAGTTGGAAGACGGCGTGTTTCGCGATTGACAGCTCTCGTTTCTTCTCGATACACGTCTAGCCTTACCTATCATCGACTGTCCGTCCTGTTCGTAGCAAATTAGTCTATCGCGGTTTTCTTTTTCGACGAAAACGATCGGTCGAGATTCTGCAACGCGATTCGTTTACGATAAAAAGAAGGAAACGATGAAATTACGGGTTCGAAAGAAGGAAGGAAGGAACAACGCTGCTTTCTTAATTTGAATTGCATAGTAGGCGCATGAAATTAGTGTTAAAGATTATTTTACATTAATTCGCAAAGTGGTTTCCCCCTTTTCTGGTAAATTAAATTATTATTATTAAATTCTTTAATTAATTGTAAGATTCGTAAAACACAGTATTTCGTGGGTAAAAGTTTAGAAAATATTGTAGTACTATTCGACTTTATTCGACAGTTCGGTGACGTTCGGTGCGTGAAGACCACTAGACAAAAATTTGCTGTTTCGACGGAAAAGGTTTCTAGGTATATGTTCGGTAAGTACGAGAGTAGGGGTTGGTCTCAGAGGTCAATGTAGGGAGAGGCGGTGAGGTCTAGGTTCGGCGATGAGTAAAGGATGATGTGGAGGTCTAGGTTTCGGGGTGACTAACGTTAGGATGATGCGGATTTGTTTACAGTTAAGGAAAGGAGGCAGGATGACTAAAAACTAATGAAAGATAGGAGAGAGGTATACGACATAAAAAAGAAATGAAAAGCTAAGGAAGATATAATAAAACGTGAAACGTGAAGGATAAATTGAACACGAAGTTCGATAATTGAACGAAAGAAGAATTCCAAACACACAGAGTAAATACAAACGTAAAAAATTCAAGTATTAAATAATACTTTTGAAGGGACAAAAGAGCAACGTAAAGAATATCGAGGAATTTTCTGTTCAACGGTTGAAAAGTGTATTTTACTTTTCTGTTAAGGAAACAGCGGAGCAGAGATGAGAATTCTGAACGTGAACAACGTGACGTTCACGTATCCGTCGTCGCCGCTGTTGACTCAGGGCACCGACGTTACCGAGGAAACTCTCTGCTCTTCCACCTCCGACGACAACGACGACGCTCGTAACGAGAACAACGAAACTGCGTCGTTGTCGTCGCGACGCTGCCGTCGCGGTGACGGTCTCGCTTCGGACACGTGTGAGTGTGTTCACGTGAGATATGTACCGCTCGGGGCGACCGTCGAGATCATCCTCCTCGATCAAGGTATGAAATTTTAACTCTATCTCTGGTAGAACAGAGCGAACGAGCGAGAACGAGGGAGAAAGGTGTCCTTCTCTCTTTAGATTTTGTTTCGGGATATTGCGGAGAATGTAGAAAACGGGTTTGCTTAATTCTAGTTACAGTGCGACAGAAAATTTTCGAGAAGTATGAAATTTTGATTCCTTTTTTCAATGAAAGAGAGTGAAAGAAAAGAAAATGGCAAATTTTAATTAAAATTTTGGAAATTTTGGTAAAGCATGAAACTTAAATTTGTTTTCAATGAAAGAGAGTGAGCTCCTTTCTTGTTTAAATTTCATTTCGAAATATCGCAGAAATTAAAGAAAATGGATCTACCTAATTTCAGTCACAGTGTCGTCAAAAATATTTAAAAGTACTCTAACCCTTTTCCATTTTATTCCTCGAGTAATTCCTCAGAAACTTATCGAACGACGTTAAAACAATCTCTAAAATTAAAAGAAAACAACTCTCTTTTTATTAACATTGAATCCTCTAAAAAAAGGACCAAAAAAGTGAAGAACTAGAGTAACCATTCTGTTTTTCTATCATTTCACACAGTGTATTCTAAACTACTTTTCCCTTCTGTCTCTAAAATTTCGTTACACGTTATGTCGCAACAAACCACGGTAAAAAAATCGGTCCAACGTGACCTAAATTAGAGAAGAATATTCGTCCACGTTGTAAAGCACGATCGTGATTGGTAGATCGACATCTTACCGCCATGTTCCTCAAGATACCTCATATGTGTGCTCTCGCAGGGCTTCGTTCGTGATGGAACGAAACTGGAAATTAGATTTCCAATTACCACCACGGTAAACATACGAGGCGAGAGCTCTGCAACGAACGTTTCCAGTCTCTCTTCTCTGACACCGCTGAATACCGCATGATTAACGATTACCGAAAACTTCATTAACATATATTGTTATCGACGAAATTCGTTAATTATTTTCCTTCGCGATCTAATCGACAGTCAATTCTTCGCATTTCTTTTTCTTCAAATTATGTAAAAAGACAGTTGAAAGCTGTCATTTTAATTTAATTAACTCCTCATCTCGAAATATTATCAATTATAATTCCAAGATTTTGCTTATCATCACTTTCACCACTTTCACGTTTCGAATTTAATTACCAGTCGAATCCAAGAGCAACGTCAAATTTAATATTAATCGTCTAATAAAATAAGCAGAGAGTTAGGATTTAGCTGAGAAGAATAAAGTTCATTTTTCAACTGCAAATTTTCGACGAAATTATTTTTTATTCAATTTGGTTCTAATGTTCTAATTTGTATTAAAAGTATCGCGTCAGTGTAGAATTGTGTGCTATAGAAGTGGAATTAACTTGTAATTTTAAATTTTAAATTACTTATGAAAGTGCCAGACAGAAGAACTTAAAAAAAGTTCAAAAACGGCACAGTTGGTAATTGTCTCAGAGGAATCCGATGAGACGAGTATGGAAATTGTACACCGAAGCGTAGCCTTCAGTTAACAACCTTGATCTATATTTCCGTTAGTTGCAGATGCTGGAAATATTGATCGCGACATTGCTCCGTCCCCAGGAATTGTTTCTAACCAAGAAACGGAAACGCGGTTTCCTCCATTAATAACTGTCCTCTTTGTTAACGAATTTCCCTGTCGCATTGTCCACGTTGATTGTCTACTCGGTACATTCTTCGAGTCTTTCGAGAAATTCTGTCGAAAATTCCGTGGAACGACGCGAAGCTTTGGAAATTATGCTCAAAGATTTTTCAATTTGTACCATCCGAACGGAGTTGAAAAAATTGCAGAAATTTCGAAGGCTGCGGAAGAATTATTCTTTGAACGAATAGACGTGCTAAGGTTCGACACGTGCCTCGAGATTATGAAAAGAACGTGACTTATCGCCATTCTTGCACATTGATTTACGTCTACGATCCTCTGGGAAGAGAAAATAATTTTTCAGAGAGAAATTAGAAATCTTACTTCGTGTTATGTTGGTTGTAGAAATGTTTTCTTCTTTTTGGCAAAAATATTTTTGTCAACTTTTTTATTTTTTCGCAAGGTGGCTTCGACGATTTGGTGTACCATTTGCACGGATACAGTTTCTACGTGGTGGGAGCAAGGAAATTTGGACGAAGCTTGCCTCTGCAAGAACTGAAAGATCTGGACGAGAAGGGACAACTGTTTCCTCGGAATCTGGACTGCACCGTGGCCAAAGATACTGTGGTTGTACCGAAATTCGGCGCGGTTGCTCTCAGGTTTAAGGCGGATAATCCAGGTATTGATAAATTCTCGTTTTGAATTTCTTTCTCTCGTGAAAAATTCTTGCTTTATTGAGAAATTATTTTTCAAAAAGTAATAAGAAAATGTTGCAAAAGATATTAAAATATTGCGAATTAATTTTATATTTTTCAAAAGTAACAACTGCAAGTAAATCGTAAACCTTGAAAATTTCAATTAAAACCTACATTCAGCGTGCAAAAATTGTTCCACACGCTCGTGCAAATGAAATTTCATTTTTATTGCAGAGTAAATAATAAAATTCTCTGGATTTACAGGGTTACATATCAAACCCTACGCAAACCGATTTTTATGAAACTCATGTGAGAGACAGTTTACAGGAAAACGTTTAATTTACATATTCAAGTTTCCTCTTAATTTTTAAACGTTTTAAACATTTGACGTCACTCAGTAGGCTTGTGACCTTACGCAAGTATCATACTTTCCTTTTTATTGTCTTCCATTCCACCGTAATAAATTACGAAACCTAGAGCTCAGAGACTTTTGTTACACACTGAATACTAAAATGTACCAAAAAGTGTTTGCTCCATAATTTACTAAATTTTGACTTAGTAAAACTATTTTAATCGTGACCAAGTAATTTTGCGTAATAAATGTTTTACTAAATTGACAATGAAATTATTCAGGTTACTGGATGTTACGGGACGAGCATGCAGCTGAGTGGACGCGTGGTTTGGACGTTGTTCTCCAAGTTGGAGAGACGAGTGATATGGTACCTGCGCCACAGGACTTCCCCAAATGTGGATCCTTCGTAGGACCCGATTATTTTCTCATATAGACTGTTAATTCCCTTAAGATTCGTATAAATATATCGTGTATATAGTTGTAAATATAGATGCGTACAGACTGAAAGTATATATATATAACACATGTCTTTCCATTTTATTCTTTTCTCGATAAACAGAGAGTTACTTAAAAAAAAAAAAAAGTTTCTTTCTCGTTCGTTCGATTTTTCCTTTTTTTTAATTGAGAAATGTACAGATTCTGTATCTCTCTTTCTGTGCTTCCATTGAGTAATATTACCGAATAAATATTATTCCAAATTTCATACCGAGTTTCGTTATTCCGCCATTCGTAAAAACCAAGCAAACGTGAGTATTGAAAACATTTCCCTTATTTTCGTATCTTCGCCTACACTTACGATTAATCCTAGTTCCTCCTTTCCTTCTAATCGTTCCCAAAACTTATCCACCTACCTAAACTTTACAGTCACTCTTCGTTGCTCACTGCAGCCTAAATTAAGAATTACCTTCTAAAAATTCCTCCAATCATTCCCAAAAATGATCCACCTAAACTTTACAATCAATCCTAGTTACTCACCGAAGCCTCGATCGAAATTTCAAAATTCCGAGGAACCAGAAGAACGAAAAATGAAGAAAAAAAGAAGACAAACGTCGCGGTTCATTTCGTTTCTAACGTCACGACTATGATTTTCATCGAGAATTCTAACCATCGCGGTGACAATCTGGCGTGAATAAATAGCCAGGGCAGAAGGCTGGTGTGTACAGCTTGAATCGTGATGTCCTGTTTGTCCGCCATTGATTCACAGATCGTCACCCTGCTCTCTGTCCCCGACGAGATCCTCTTCCTCCAACACAAAGTCTTTCGAGAGTATGCCAAGATCGCTGTTGGACCGGACTTCATCCACACTCTGCCGTCTTTTTTCATTTTAACATCGATGGCCATCGTTCTATGGAGAAATCCTCCATCCTGCCACGCACTGGAACAAGCTCTAGCCGTGACGATGCTGTACAAGTCCCTTCAGGTATCTCGATTCGCGTTTCTTTTTATCGTTCCTTCGAGATTATGCTAAGTTGTGTGTTCGTGTTCGAAGCTGATGGTCAGCTGGGTCGTCGTCATCGCTGTTTTATGGTTCTGGCTGATGATGCAGAGGCTGCTCTACTGCTGCATCTGGACGAGTTGGAACAGTGTGAGTAGATGCTGAGTATGAATTGTTGAACTGTTTTTTGTCCGCGATACTATAGTATTTTGGCAATAATTGTGGTAACTGCGACGTTTATCAATCCTGTGATATGTTTTGTGCAATTCTTTTTATTTTTCATTTTCGTTGTGTGCTATGGTGAATAGTGATTTCATTGGCAACTAATAACAGTAAAATAAGACGCCTTTCAAAGAGTTACTCGTTCCTCACGATTACGATTTTACAGGGATCGATTAATTATTTTTCGAAAATAACATTTGGAGGAATGAAATTTTCCAGGAATCACAGTGGCGTGACGTTTCTTACCAGTGGTGGGAACAAGTTTGGTCCTCCTATTATCCCCGACCACTGGAACCCCCGGTAATGTCAGCTGGACTTATCAGTTGGCTCATCTCGATGTTGATCGCCTCGACTGCCCTAGGCTGTGCACTTTCTACGAATCGAGTGTGCAATTTTATCGCGGAATCTTTAACTGCAGCAAGGGATGCACTCGTGGTGGTGAAGTGTTACGCGAATTCTTACTTCAAGAGGTTATTAAAGCAAATACCTTTACGTGTAAACGGTACTTCGCGAAACGGTCCACCATTCAGAGATGAAAACCGCCTTAATTAAACTAGAACGTTGCAACCAACCTCTAATACTTTATCCAAATTCTGCGTTCTATTTTCTCGCACGTTTTCCTTGCAAAAACATCTACAAAATTAATCGCTAATATTTTACTTGATTTTCTAACAATTTAATTTTACCATCTGCCACTTTACATTTCCAGAACTGTACAATTTACCGTTTCATTAAGAGTCTAATAATTTCACCATCGCTCGTTATGCATGCAGAAACTTTCACAATTTATCACACCATATTCCAACAGCTTTATACTCCGCTGATCCTATCATCTACCTTTATATTCTACTTAATATTCCAACAACTTTTCCACCTACCGTTCTATACTCTCTGCTAGATATTACATTTGAATAATTCCATCGTCTACCATTTTACACGCTGAAAAAATTGAATCATCCGAATTTCGCCCTGTTTCCAAATCCAGAATCCTCACCTGGATACTGCAGCCGTACTGGCCGCCAGAAGAGGAGCACTTGATAGCCGAGAAGAAGAGCAACGTACCCCCGAACGACAGCGAGGCGAGTTCGATTTGCGACGAGTGTCGATCGGAGATCTCCAGCGATCCAGTTCCGCAGCCACGAAGAGAGGTGCATCCGATCTCCTACGGCACCAACTGGTTGCCGAAAGCAAATTTCACCGGCTACAAGGACGCCCAGAGAAAAGTGTCGATGAAGTCGATGCACACGGTGGCAGCGGTGAACAACATCCAAGATCCTGAGGATCTGCTGCTGCGAGAGATGCGTTACAAACGCGGTTGTCACACGGTGATACCGAGCAATTCGAGCGATCAATCGAGCGGATGTTGAAGAAATTAGACGAAGAGGAAGCTACGCCGGCTCGACCAGAGGAGATTTACAATTAGAATCGATTTTAGATTCTGGTGGAAAATTTCTAAAGGACGATATTCTGGGTCACTGTTGCACAAAAGGGAAGCTTGAATAGGGAAATTGATTTTTTTCTAACGACACGCAGAGGTTGCTCGTGCTCGCGGCTAATAACACGTGGCCGTGATAGATATAGGGGGATATTTATGATCGAATCGCATGTTCAATGCTGTTCGACAAATTTCGCCGTTTCAAACGTATGAATCGGTCTGTGTTTTCGTAGATTCTTTCTTTAACGATGCATAGATCGACCTGTTTTTCTGCAAGGTATAAATAGGTGGAAAACAGTGTTCGGGGATATTGTGGATTGTGGGTTTCCGGGAAATTGACAAGTGGAAGGGTTAAAGAGCGTTTGAAAAACGCTGGAGATAGTATCTACTTTTTTTTTTTTTTAATGGAGATTGATAGGGTGTATAAGATACGTTTGATAATTCTTTATTAGGAAAAATCGAAAGTTTCTGGAGAAAGCTGGGAAAGATATAGATAGCATAGTGTATGTGTAAGAATTGTAGAGGATTTTGTATTATACCGTAATTATTGTATTGTATCTCAGAAATTATACGATTAAATATTTTTATAAAATGTGTGTCCACGATTTTTCTATGCCCATCTTTCTTTTTTCTGGCCACAACATTTTCCTATATTTTTTTATTACTAAATTCTTCTCGACAATATTGCTAATTTGTAATTTTCGTTGGCTATTAGTAATTAATAATTTTTCTACAAAAAAAGAATGAAATAGAAGAAAGTGATCGAAATATTAAAAAATTGTCTAAAACCGTTCGAAAACACGACAATTTTGAATTTCTTCAAGCTGTTCGTATAATCACCACTCGAGACTCTCTAACCCATTCGAAAACCCGAGCTACTTATAACCCAATCCACTTTTTCGACTCTTCAAATCTAATCTTAACCACCCACTTCTCGGCAAAAAATTTTCATCCCTCGCACCTACACGTCCTCGACGCTCCACTCGAACCTTCTCCTCGTCCCCAACCGAGGAAATGAAAATTCTTACATCAAGTACATTCACGCTCCGTTTTCAATTGAAAACGATCAATGAAAACCGAGGCGGAAAGTGCTGTGCACACAGAGAACTCGTTCTCTCTCAGATATGTATGACTCGGAACAGTTTGAACTCGCCCACACATCGTTTTTGATGCAGAAACAAGTCTATCTTTGGATTATTATAAAAATATTTATGAAACGTTGGACTTTTAACGGAGAAATGAAAATCAAATATTATTCTTAGATTCTCCGGCAGAAATTTACCAAGAATTGTGAAAATTTTGGAGTTTTTCAACGCTTAAGTGTATTAACTGAGCGATCAGTTTGGCGTGTGTAAATCAAAATGTGTGAGTTTTATACAGAAAAGAGGGGGAAAAGAAAAATAGACTCAGCGAAAGTCCTGAAAAATTACTATTTTTCAACCGTTCTTAGCTCGTAGCAACGTAAACCGATTTTCATAAAATTTTCAACATATTTTTTAAATTTTCATTACGAGCTCAGACGAAAAAGGTGTAAACAGTGACCAAATAGCAATTTTTTCAAAATTTTTTCTGCTCGCCATCTAATAAACTAACCCTTCTAACTTCTCAAAAGAAACACGAATCGTTTGGTCCAATTTAAAAAAAGTTACTCTGTCTTAAATAGTGCGTCAATACTTTTCTGACCTAGTGTAAGAAACGTATCCTAAAAGAGACCAGACAATTTGTCATTTTTTCCATCGATCAACTCAACGTTGCGCTCATTCTCCTCGAACAACGACCATGACAATCTCATGCTGACTAAACAGTCCTCGTGCCGAAGCTGTACCGCTTAGCCTTCGCTGCGCATCCCCTTTGATTATTTACCGCGGAAAAGAAGTCTCAACCCTAGGAACAGCCAGCGGTGGAGTGGCGATTACGCGAGCGCATGCGCGAGAAAAGGGTAACACTCCCCGTCTCGCGACGAAGCATTATTCTGTAACGACATCCCTCGTAGAGTAGGTCGACCCGAGACTCACTCGTCACGTTCTAACACGCAATTAAATTTCCTCCTAACCGGAAGTGCTTCGAGTATACCAGCAGTTCTAACTAGATAAAATAACAAAAATTCATCCGTGGAGGATCTTTCGTTTCGCCGTGGAAATTGGAAAATTCGAAAAATTCGGGGATCACGACGCTAGAGTTCGGGCGTGAACGCATTGTTTTCCTCCACGGACATTGTCCCCAGTGCTTGCGGCGCCTTCCAAGGATGTAGATGCGGAAGGCAATCTTTCGCAGAAGAAGAATTTACTAAACATATATATATATATTCGATACGCGTCGAGATATACTTTTCTCGAGAAATTTGTGTCCAACTGAAAAATCTTCATCACGAGACTACGCTACACTGGAAGTTCATTGCTCTGAGACACACTTGGTAAGATACGAATACTCGTTGTCTAGATTTCTCAACCGTTTAAAATAAACGTATCGATGCTAGATTTCTATTTTTCTAATCTAAAAAAAAGTAATTGAGAATTACCGACATGTTCCTTAATTGGTCAATACTAATTTTCTAAACTATTTAGCATCACTTGAGATATTTAAAATTTCTGTTAAAACGTTCGTTTCCTGTCACCCACAATTTTATCACCGTAATCGACATGGTTAATGCTAATTTTACTATCATTTGACATATTTTAACTTTCTATCACATGGTGTCAGAATGGGGACAGTTTGTTACCTGTCAGAATCAAAATTTTCTTTCAAAAAAATAACACCCTCGTCAACGTTCAATTTCCACGTTGACTCGCGCTAAAAGAAAAAACCTCGAGTTTCGCTGGAAAAAACTAGCGTAGACCAAACACAGGTCCATGTGTACGGCGTAACGTGACACAAAACTTGCTATTGATTTTGCGTTCAGCATCCGTAGCGCGCGCACGAGTATTTGTGTACAAGCGGAGGCATCTCTCTCTTGGCTCGCGCGCGCTTTCGCTCACATGTGCCTCGAATTTACCCACACTGTCGCGCGCAAGTACTTACTTTACACGTAACCCCTGCACGTACACATGGAAACAGGTGTGTACACACGTGGACACAGAGAGGAGGACATGTGCACCCTCTCTCTTTACCTCGCCGCCTCTGAATCGTTTGAAACGATAATACGGGTAGCCGGCCGCGCGTCACGCGGGAACCAGCCTTCCCATCGAGAAAGGGGACTTTTTCATTCAGCGTAGAGCTGGTTTTCGCAACTGTCCTTTCAAACAGAGAGAGAGAGAGAGAGAGACGGAAGTTTGATTGAAAATAACCCCCCACGAGATCGCCCTATGCGGAAATATAGGCGGAGGGTGTACGGATTCCTCGTGAAAGGGAGTAGTGGAGGCTTTGAGAGCACGCGAGTTTCTTTGAAAAAAAAAAATTCGTTCTTTGTTTGTCTCTTGGATGGAAGGTTCAGGGTTGGGTGATCGGTGAGAGTTGAAATTTCGAGTTGCCTTGGAAGTGTACGGTCTGATCGAACGCTGACTTGTTCTACTGGAGGATTGAGCGATAGATAGAAAATTTGATAGATTTAGAGTTTGCACGTGTATGCAGGGTGTCTCTGAAGTTGTGGTACAATAGGAAAAGGTATAAATCTATGTGAAAAAAATAAGTTGAAAATGTAGAGTAGTAGTTCATTTTTGAATAAATCGATTTTGAAGACTGATCGAGGATTCGTCTTGTGCCTCCTGTCTACATGTTACTTATGTCAACGACTGACGAATTAATTTCGCTGTAAAGTACACTATCGGTCAAAAGTTTGGAATCGCCTGCCAATTTACACCAATACTGAATCTTTTACTAATTCTTTAGAAATTTTAAGTTAACGTTGTGGAGGTCAATACCAAGTTACCTCATTTCGTTGATAAAAGATTCTTAAAACTGCCACCTTTTTTCTCGAAATTTATGTCTAACTTGCAACGCATAGCCGATTCCGTACATTCGACTTACCCCCGAAAATTACATTCTACGTTCTTCGCAAAATTTACCCTACCCTTTCCTGCAATATTTCGTTTCACCAAATAACCACCCTATCGTCCGTTAAAATCCTCCTTTTCTCCACTCTTACGTTCCTGACCACCGATAACAAGTTTCGAAAATTCGGAACTCCCGATTTCACCGTAGTCTCTTCGTGCTTTTCACTATTTGCACGAGGGCTTCATTGTCGGCGACCGACTGAATGAAGCGGGGACTTAACCAGAATAAAGGTCACCGTGGTACACGTGACAGTAATGGACTAGCAAATTGAAAAGTTTTATCGGTGAAGCGGCGTGTAAAACGCCTCGCATGTCCGTCGAAACACGAAATCCCGTTGTCGCGTGTCGCGATCAGCTTGACGGTAATTAAATTTGTTATGTACGTGCGCTGCAAACGGGAGCTTCGTGAAATATTTCGTAAGTCAGCGAGACATTGAATCGGAATAATCAATGCGTCTCGTCGATCTTCTGCCCTTTCGTATTGTTTAACTAAATTTGTAACGTTACCCTTCGCTTATCGCGACAATACTTTTTTTTTTTTTTAATGAAAAAACTTTGAATGAAAAGACTTTCTTTTGCGTTTCGAAAAATTACGAAAAAATCTCGATACAATTTTATTGATTTTCTTTTTAATCGAGTAAAATTTCGTTTGTATCAATTTTCTGACGAAGCAGCGACGAGTTTACGCTTGCGAAGTATACACAGAATGGTGCAATAGTAGTTACCTAGTTCCGTACGACTGCAACTGCGGATAAAATGTCCAACGACGTAGACAAAGTTGTTAGATTTTTTATCTTCGTTCTAAAATAGAGATATCCGTAAATTAACGCGACAGAAACTGTATATAGTAGAAAATTTATCGATTATCGTTTTTATAACACCTTCTGTACTTCACGATTCCCTGAAAATTGTGCGGTAAGTCGTGAATAACGAGATTCCTTTATTTATTCACAAGGCAATAAACATCAATTTTCCGTTAAACTAAGGAAACCTGATTATTGCTATTTGCCTTTTCCACGTAGCAACTTGGTGTCGAAAATCGATTTTTGTCACACTGGCAACGAGAATCGAGTTGGTTGTGCAATTAAGCTGGTAAAACATTGTTGCAAACGAGATCGTCACAGCTGGTTATGTTTACATGCTGTAAACGTAGATGTAAGAAGGATTTAACGCTTGTATCTACTCGTGGGAGTAAAGTAGAAGAAACCTGTGAAAATTCTGTATTTCAGCGAATATAACACTCGAAAATTCCACCAACTTTCGTATACTTTATTCCAAGACAATTTCAAGAAACATCCAACTAACCAAGAATATTCAATTAAATTTAAAAAAAAAAAAACGCAAAAGAGAGTGAACAACCCCGAAAGAAGATAAAGAGCCGTCGACAATAGCAAACGGTAACGTTAATTACACTTCCCTTCGAAGCATGAGAAAACCTTTCAATTAAAATTTGAAAGGATCGCGGGCCAGGAGTAGCCATGTTTAGAGAAAAATATTCTTCAATTAAGACGCAACGGGGCTCTCTCTGGCAACAAGGGCAAAAGAAAATTCAGCAGACTGGCTCTCGTTAAGAGGGACCGGAACCGTGGTATCTCCCCCTAAATGTAACCTACTTCTTCGAGAAAAAAAGAAGAAGTCCAGCGCAAATTTCAACAGACCACCTGCGAACTTCCATGCTCCACGTTAACCGTAATATCAATTACTCGATAACGATCTCTGACAGCGAGCTCCATTATCTCCCATTGGCTCGCATGCTCCTCTCGTATCGCGTGCCCGTCTTCTCCGGGCAGGAGGGATGCTTCCGCGCGTGCAGGACACTTTTACGTAACCTCCCAGCCGGCAATTATAATTGATTACGAGGGTTGAGAGAGACAGCCGGCGACGAGCCGCGTTCAAGGTCGTCCGACGGGATGCTTCGACGACGATAAATTGTCGCGTGATTCCAGGAATTATGGCGGAGAAGATGTACTACTGGGGAGAGGAGAAGGACCAGGTCGATCCGGACCAGGCCTTCATAGAGTTCAAGGCCAAGTCCCAAGGTCCTGAGAAGGGAAGAGAGTCCTCTTGTGCGGCGCCGAAGATGACCGTTTCCTCGCCGCAGGGCAGAGTGACGGAAGTTGGGAACAGAGAGGAGGACGCGGAACGCGGAGGATGGGACAACAAGCTGGACTTCTTGTTCTCCTGTATCAGCGTCTCCGTGGGACTTGGAAACGTCTGGAGGTTTCCGTATTTGTGCTACAAGAACGGCGGAGGTGAGTTTGTATATCGTGGCAGATGGAAAATATGGGAGTGAAGTTTCACTCGCAATAGTATCGCCGATTGTTTCACGTGCATTATTTTGGAGAAAATAGAACGTCACGAGGAACGTACTGAATTCTTAACGAAGAAAGATAATTGATTTCTGATCGTGACTATAGCAACGATAATCGCGTATTCTAGCTGGGTTGAGTTGGTTGTTGTTCGTTGATTAAAAGTGTTTGCGTACCGCATAACGATGAATGCAGATTTCAACGTTTTCAAGCTTGACGAAACATTTACAGGCGCGTTTCTGATTACTTATGGAATCGCCATGCTGTTCTGCGGAATTCCTATATTCTTTCAAGAAGTGGCAATTGGACAGTACCTTGGAGCTGGAGGAATGACGCTAGTGGGACAATTGTGTCCCCTTTTGCAAGGTATTTCGATGCAACGATTCTTTTTCGCGTGGTTAAAAAATTTGTCAGTTTAAATGAAATAAATTCTTGGAAAATTATAAGAATTATTCGAACTTCAGAAACCAATGGAAGATTGAAAAAATAAATGATTTAAAATTAAATTATTAAAGAATTTTACATTATTTCGATGTGAGGAAATATTGTTAAAAATGCTTCCTTTCAGGAGTTGGATACGCTACTATGACGATCGTATTCTTCCTAGACGTGTACTATTGCATAATAATTGCTTGGACACTATTCTACCTTGTAAGCACATTGACCAACATACCAGAGGTACCTTGGAACGGCTGTGGTTAGTAAAACGATTAAAACTAATCAATTTCCCTGCAATCTACCGAATGTTTATCGATTCCTCGATAACATTTTCCAACGTTACAGACAACTGGTGGAACACTGAAAATTGCTACAGTAGATACAACGAACCCGAGCAGTCGATCATGGCTAGTTCAAATTCGACTACGAATTCGACCACGAATTCAACTAGCGATTTAACGATTAACGTTACCCTCCAACATACCACACCAGTCGAGGAATACTGGGAGTAAGTATAATTTCCAACCCTAATTCGAACAATTTCAAAAATCAGAGTAAACCGTAACACACTTTTTCTTATAATTTATAACAAGATTTCTCGTTTCAAAGCGACACTGATTAACCCTAAAATCCTCGGAAAGAAACTTCTCCGTTGCTAATTACTCAACTTAATATCCTCCAATAAATATCATGCTACCGCAAGAAAATAATAACCTTCAAGCACGACACATTCCGTGATTTTCTCAACTTTCAACTGGCAGTTCTAAGAAACTCGCGTTCCGGTAAACAAGTTTAACGATATAAAAACCGCTAAAGAAGTGGTTCCTTTGAGAGCAAGAAAAAGTTCGAACTTCCCAAACTTTCGGAAGCATCTGGAGAAGATTGAAAATGGGTAATCGTGAGACTTTTTTGATATTCCAGACGAAGAGTTCTTGGGATCTCCTCCGGTATCGAGAGCATCGGCGGCGTGCAAATGGAGCTGTTGGGTTGTCTGATCGTCGGCTGGCTGATCGTTCACCGTATCATCCGGCGTGGTCTCCATCAGAGCGGTAAGATCATCTGGTTTTCAGCCTTGTTCCCGTACGTGGACGTTGGACGGCGCCAACGAGGGTTTGCTCTACTACGTAACGCCAAGATGGAACGAGCTGTTGTCGCCAGGGCCGTGGATCGACGGTGCCACGCAAATTTTCTTCGCCTACAGCATTGGCACTGGGGCCCTGCCTGCTCTTGGATCGTACAACAAGTTCCATCACAATTGTTACAAGTGAGTGTTGTAGCTCTTGCCTTCGTTCCTTCGTTTCCTGAGAAAGTGTTGCAATTCTTGGATACGATTGCGCTTTCAAGGACAATATTGTCTTTGTATTTTCGAATGATCTAAGCTTAATGCTCGACCCAAGAATTTTACGAAATTTCATCCATCGCGTTTGCGCAAGTTAGCCAACAGATTCGGTCACACTTTAGACATTTTTTGCAATGCCAATGTCTCTTCTGGAAATGGAACTTTTGATTCTTCACGTATTATACCGATAGTAATTCTTCTTTTACAGAGACGCACTGATCACTTGCATAGTGAACACGTTAACCTGCCTACTGGCCGGTTGCGTGACTTTCTCCATTTTGGGTCACATAGCCATGGAGCAAGGTACAGAGGTATCAGAGGTGGTGAAGAGTGGGCCGGGACTGGTGTTCCTCACCTATCCAGAAGTGGTCCTGAAGCTCCCACGTGCCCCCATGTGGGCGATTATCTTCTTCGTCATGTTGCTCGTAAGGAACACTTAACTCGAGCGAAGGAGTGTACTCCGCTTCTTCTGTGATCAATGTCTGTTTATCAGATTCTTCTATACATTAATTAGAACCAATGTAATTATCCTCGAGTCTGGCCTCTTTCATCGCTTGACTTTTATTATTGTCGTATTATTGCTTGATGTATTATTTTTTAGAACACAAACTTTTCTGTTATCTTCGAGCGATGAAATAAGGTCGAGTTGAAGGATACTGTGCAAACTGCATGAATAACTCTTTTTTATTATATTTTTTATAATTGTAGCTTTGATGTATTCATTTTTGTTACGTATTCGAATTATTTAACGGAATAGAGAGTTTACTTTTTTTTTATAGTTTATAATATTGCGTTAGTCTGTGAATGTTTATAATTGTATTTATTACTTTTACTCCTCGACAGATACTTGGAATCGACAGTGAAGTCTGTATCGTGGAATCTTTTATCACTGGTGTCGTTGATAACTGGCCTGATCAACTTCGTCCGCACAGACATAAGTTCACCACTGCAATTTGCATTCTTATGTTCGCTCTGGGTATTCCCATGGTGACCAACGTTAGTATAAATATTTTCGAAAATTATTGCTCTCTTAAAAAAAAAAAAAGAAAATCGATTACAACTGACATTTCAGGGAGGAGTTTATATATTCCAGTTGATGGATTTCTACTCAGCAAGTGGTATGTCGATCTTGTGGGTTTGTTTCTTCCAAACGATAGCAATATCGTGGATCTTTGGAGCGAACAAATTCTGCGACTGTATTCACCAGATGATGGGAATACGATTGAACAAATTCTGGTACATTTGCTGGGTGGTGTTTGCACCGGTGATCATGGCTGTGAGTAGATTTTGAATTTATCTTTCGTGAAATAAAAGATTTCGGATATACTTTTTTAAATAAATATCCAACGTCAGGAAAGATTGATCGGAAGGGTAGGATAGGTGAACATTTTTCAATTTATATCGAGAGATATGTGATCAATCAGCTTGTAGAAGATCGTAATTTCCTCGTGGGAGGAGAGAGCGAGATAAATTGCAGCGATCTGTCTCTGTCTTCGTTTCATACTGCGCTAGGATCGATACTCTTAATGCCTCCGCTTGAAAATTGTGTATAAAGTGTAAGAAAATTGATCTTTGAACGATTAAATTGGAAGATTTTAAAACTGAAAAGTTCACAAGTTCAAAAATTCAAGTATTGAAAAACATAAAAATTCCAAAGTTGAAATATTGGAAAATTCAGAAGGTGAAAAGTTGAAATACTCGAAAATTTAGAAGCTGAAAAGTTCAAAAAGTCCAAAGTTGAAATATACGAAAATTCAAAAAATCCAAAGTTGAAATATTGGAAAATTCAGAAGGTCCAAAGACCAAAAATTCAAATTCAACTAAGGGAATGGAATTCACAAAGTTTTTGGCAAATCAAGCAACCCAATTTCTAAAGAACTACGACAAATTGGTTTGTTTCACTTTTCTTTTAGTCCATCTTCGTGTTCCAATGCGTCCAGTACAAACCACTGAAATACGGAAGCGATTACGAGTATCCAACATGGGCGGAGGTAGTGGGTGTTTGTCTAAGTGTGTCATCGATGATCTGGATACCAGCTTATGCTCTCTACTATGTCACCGTCAATCCAGGATCCATTAAAGAGGTGAAACATTTACATATTTTAAGCAGGCATATTAATCGTTGTCGTGTAGTACAAGAATCTTCAACTTGTTCGACCTCCTTTCCAAATTAGACAAAATCGAAATAAATTACGATCAACACACGTGTATATACCTTCGCAAATTTTCGAATTTCACTATCCTTTAGCAAAAAAAATGACACAACACCGTAGTAGTAATTTAAAGATCCGATATTTTTACAATTGTACAAATATTTCTAAATGTTTGTCCATGGTAATTTTGATTCTGCATTTTATTCACAGAGATCAGAAGAACGCTCGAATGTACCTAAATGTATGCAATTACTTTCAGAACTTCTTGAAAGGTCTAAAACCGAACATGAAGTCGCATCCCAAGTTACCAAAAGGCGAGAAATCAGCAGTGATACCGATGTCTGAGAGTAGTGCCGGCTTGATCACCAAGAATAACAGCTTCCTGAGTCAAACATGATCACCGTAAAAGGCTTTTCTATCCCCTACCATAGGTTGTAATTATTGTAAGCGTAGTATTTTGAACGGGATTCAATGAGCGAGGTCGTACACGCAGAGGAGCTCGATTTCTTTCATCGTTGATGAAAAAAGTTGTTGAAAGAAACTGTCGGTAATTGTTACGTTTATCGACAGGTCTGAGAAAGCGGAAATGCTACAGGACAGATTACGGTAATTTCATTCGTTCACCTTATTCTGCATTTGATCTCGAGATATGTGTTTCAAGTACTTATCGAGGGAAGTTTGTGAATTTGCTGTTTGACATGGACACTTTGGGAATTTTTAGTCGGTTTGATGAGTCGATTATTTTCGATCAAATTTGAAAATTTCAGAATTTCAGAATTTCTAATTAAGAATACTGGAAACTTGGAAATTTCACAAATTTAAATATTCCAAAATTTGATATTTCAAGAATCGTGAATTTAAAAATTTGGAAATCTGGAATTTGGAAACCTTGAAGGTTTGAAATTTCAGAAATTTAAAGCTTGGAATTTCAGAATTTCGAAAGTTTGAAATTTCACGAACTTTAAAAATTGGAACATCAAAAATTTGAGATGTTCAAATTTCAGAAATTAAAAAATTTGAAGTATCAAGAATCTAGAAAATTGAAATTTCAATCCTTGGGAAAATTGATAAAACTACCCTTCAGATTACAAATTCCTCTGCTTCGAATCGCGAATCGACGAATTTGCGTAACGAAACTGCAAAGAAAGCACTTCTCAGTCCAGCTGAAAGCAAGAAAGCAGCAAAATTCGCGACAGTGCGTATCAACGATGAAACCCGAGCTAATTCTGCAACCAAAATACCGATGTCGTTCTCTCTATATTAAACGATACTGATATACCATGTAAAAAAGGTTGCTTAGAAAGGAAGAAAGAAGAAAAAAAAAGGAAACGAGAGATAAGAGAGGTTAAACGCGTAACTTAGATTATATTATACGATAATAGCAGACAGCGCTAGTTTTCGGATAATTATTGAAGAGAAGTTGAAGAGCTCTATATTTTTTATCGCGATTTGTCATCGTGATGCTCCTACAAACGATTGTTAACACGAGAAACATAGTTTAGTTAATAGCCTGGTTGGTTTTAAGCGGGGCAGGTGTGATTTAAATGGAAGTCTTCGCGATGCTGATGAAGTTAGAACGTAGATTTGCAAAAGATACTGAGATAAATGTTAGAAAGAATAAAATGTACTTTTCGCGACACGTGATATCATTTTTACAGAATGAATATATTTATATTTTGTGAATAGACGTTTGAAATCTGACACGATCAATTTAAAAGAATTAAATTTCATTTATCTACGAGATTGAAAATTTTTAGAAATTAAAATAGAGCAGCTTGAACGTATTATGTGTAAGAATCAAATTTTTCTTTTTTTCGTTCAATTTTAAATGCTCAAATATTTTTAATCGATCTTCGTGGATTTAAAGCGTCTACTTGCATTTCATAACATTAATTGTTTAACGTGCGAATTTCGCTTGATGAAAATGAAACGGAATTGCGTGAACCACTTTTTACCAGAATTTGTACCACAGTTTTCGATATTCAGAGAACGCTTGCTTTTTGCGATATTATATACATAAAGGAATTTTGTAAACGATTGTACGATTAGTTCAATTGGTAGAGAGTATAGTTGAATCACAGATAAAAAGACTCGATCAATTTTTGTACGAAGAAAATTAACGAAAGTGTTAATTCCATCGAGCAATTTTCTCTTATTTCACTCTGACTGACTTTGCTTAAAAAATTCAAAATATATTCCAAAAAAAAAAAAAATTACTTTTTATAAACAGCTCATATATTCATTGATCATTTCTTCGATATATTGTTCAGTTGCAGATGGAAGAATTAAAATTTGTGATTCAGGATTTGCTATGGAAATTATGATTACAGAAAAAGCTAGAATTTTTCGATGGAAATTTACCAAGACAGTTTGTACGAAATCAGTTTTAAAAGAACCCGAAAATATGAAAGTTTGAGAATTTTTAATTAGAAATATTTGAAACTCTGTAATTTCAAAAATTTGGAAATTTGAAAGATTGAAATTTCACAGATTTGGGAGTTTGTAAGTTTGAAGTTTCACAGATTTGGGAATTTGCAAATTTGAAGTTTCACAGATTTGGGAATTTGCAAGTTTGAAATTTCACAGATTTGGGAGTTTGCAAGTTTGAAATTTCACAGATTTGGGAATTTGAAAGTTTCAAGTTTCTCAGATTTAGGAATTTGCAAGTTTGAAATTTCACAGATTTGGGAGTTTGCAAGTTTGAAATTTCACAGATTTGGGAATTTGAAAGTTTCAAGTTTCCCAGATTTGGGAGTTTGTAAGTTTGAAGTTTCACAGATTTGGGAATTTGCAAATTTGAAGTTTCACAGATTTGGGAATTTGCAAGTTTGAAATTTCACAGATTTGGGAGTTTGCAAGTTTGAAATTTCACAGATTTGGGAATTTGAAAGTTTCAAGTTTCTCAGATTTAGGAATTTGCAAGTTTGAAATTTCACAGATTTGGGAGTTTGCAAGTTTGAAATTTCACAAATTTAACTCTCATCGTTACCTTTAGTCGCACAAACTCTTCGCGTTCTTTCCGAGCAAACATCCAACTCTTCGAAACCCATGCATTTTCCGAAGAGCAAGAGAAAATGACGGAAGAGCAAAGGTGCGCCTCGCATAGATCTCAGCTGGCATTTACCATACACTTCGCGAACCATTGCGTTGCAAAACGAAAAATCTCGTGGTACAATTATTCTTAATTTTACAACGAAGAATTCACACCTAAAAATCCCAATACCAAAATTTATTTGCTAATTCGACGTTCGAACTCAGGTAGAAATTTCACGCTACCAAATTCTCGAACGAAAGGATCCCGATACATTTTCTCACGATCGCAATGGTTCAACGATACGTAAATCCCCCAAAATAAAGCGTAAGATAAAAATATATAACTAGTTTTATCGAAAAAATTATGTACGCTCTTGAAGTTACTAACAACCTTGTAACAGCTACTCCAGTATTCGTCATTCGAGACACTATTATCTGTATTAATAGTATTTCGTACGAATGAAATTTTCAACGACCAATTAATAGTATTCCAAGAAAAAGAACGAGTCTACGATACATTGTTTCGGAAATGTGCACGAATTTTAGAAAGAATCTTGAAAGAAAAAGGAGAAAGAAAGGTAAAATCGTGTTTTCTCCGAGAAATTGGAAAATTCACGGATTCACTTGATTCGCGAAAATAAGAGCAATAAAAGACGTTGCAAGTGTTGAGAAAACGGGCCTAAAATGATTATTAATTTCTGTCGTCTTTTTAGATCGTCTACAGGCTATACTACACGTGATCGCTGTGCGCTCTATTTAAACGAGTTTTAACAGTTGTTGATGTTGTGTACCATATTGAGAGATCGTCTGAAAGCTTTATACGACGTTTGTTTAGATTTTATTGTCGCATTGTTACGCCGAGAGTACTTCCAATAGCGAGCTAAGATTATGGCGAATCCACGTGATTCCGTATTATCCACGAAGTTATGATAATTTCCTTCGAAGAGAGAAAGACACTTTATTTTTGTGATCGTATTTAGTGGATTTGCGTGTACCTTGCGAGATTCTCAAAGGATTAGACGTAAGAGGATACGGAATTGAGAAATTCAGAATATCTGCATAATTAATTTCTAACTTTTAATATTTTTCTACGTTTGAATTTCAAAAATTAAAATTTTTTTTAAAAATAACACGAAATAAGTATACAGTAGTCACTGAAACTACGTTAAGTAACAGAAAATATTTCTCTTTCTAATAATTTCATGATTACACGAGAAATTTGTGGAAAGATTTAAAAACCTCTTCGTCGGCACTGTAAAATAACTGTTTCAACGTAGCTGTACAAATTCTACGTTCCACTGGGATTTTTATTGCAACCTAGAGAGAGCATATACGAAACATTTGTTCCTAAATAAAATATAATTTAGCAAAAGAGTACTTATAAAACACTGTGCGGCGCACGTAAAATCAGCCCCAAGCGTAAAATACAATTTTATTTTGTAATAACATACTGTACATTTCAGTTACATCTGCTACGGTGAATAAACAGTATTTCCAAATTAGAAAGACTTTAATTTTAACAGTTCACTCGTTATCAGTGTTGTTATCTCTCTACGAAATACAACGTCAAAATTGTATTCTACCTTTGGGACCAGTTTCACGTCTGCCACACAGTATACTAACTAAGAACGTAAAACTACGTCAAGGTAGTTGAAAAAACTAGAAACAAAAGAGAAAGAGAGGAATAAAATCTCGATACAGAAAATGAAAAAATTAGGAAAAATGAAGGAATCTGGATATTCCCGTTTAATCGTCGAATAATCAACAAAGATAATTGCCACACGCGTTTAATCAACGAAAACGACGAAATATTCCATTGGACAACACAGCACTCGGATATAAACTCGAGTAACGGAGTATCCAGATACACGGGTTCATTGAAATTCCACACGGTGCGTCCTCGTGCGTCTAATCCCGTTCATTAATCACTGCAAACGATTATGCGAGCATAGAGCAATTCACCAATTGAACGGCCGCTAATTACCGTGACGTTAATCAATATATACTTCTGATCGTTTCTCGGTATTAAGCTGTGCACGATGCGTGACAAGTATTCCCATGCACGAATCGACAGGTGACCACACGCATCTGCGACACGTCGTGATTCAAATTGAGAACGAATCGCTCTCGTCAACGTTACGCTACGCTCTGTGTATCGATATGTTCTCGTAAATCAGGATGTGGACTCGTGTGTGCTTCTACGTAACGCAATTTCCTATCATATATGTACAGGGTGGATAAAGTAACACGGTCACTTTAAGAAGAGTCGGGATTTAAGAGGGAAGTTTTTCAGAATGCTTTTTGCATATGATTGTATACGCTGGAAATTATGAATATGTAATTTTCTCTTGTAAATTGTTGCAC